AGAGTAGGCTCTGGACCGCCGCCCTCGGGTCACGTGGACAGCGAGCTGGCTCAGGGTATAGTAGTTAGTGTTGATCTTCCTAACTTCCGGCAGGCTTTCTCAGATCCTCTTTCTCTCACCTCCACCCCCTCCTTTCCCGTGTCTGTTCTAGCTATTGACTTTTTCTTTTTTATCTTTTTTTTTTTTTTTAGCTATTGACTTTTTCAAGAATTAAATTTGATCCAAGTTTATGGCGTGCTCCAGGTTCCCCCACGTTTTACCATTTGAGAAAAGAGTCTGTATGTGACCCAGACCTTGAACATGTGAGTGTCAGTCCTTGTACCTCAGCCTCCTGGATGCTGTGTGTAAAAAGCAGGTGCCACCCTACCTCCTCCGCTCCACCTTGGGGGGCTTGACAGAGAAATGACCCCAGGCTAAAACAAGAGGGAGTGCAAACAACCAATTATAACGGTTCTTCTCCAACTATGTACTAAATCACTGTGTTGTTCTTTTTGTTCCAGAATCCCCTGACAGGTAGATGGGGGCGGGGAAAGATGGAGAGGAGCCGAGAGAGAGAATAACCAAGACACACTTGGACGAAGGAAACAGGGCTTATCTGGAGATTTTACAGTACCAGATGCTGCAAAGAGAAAAAGCAAATAACTGCATGAATGCACTGTCTGGAATAGCCAACAGACCTGCCTTCAAGTTCCTGGCTCATCTCGCAGTGATGGATTGCAAGCCGGAATTGTCAACCAAATAAACCTTTCTCCCGGATATTGCTTTTTGTTACACTATTTCATCAACTGTGGCGTAGAAAAGTATTTCAGACTCTCCCTAGATGATAAAACTGTGAAGCAGAATTTGTTAAAATAAATAATAGTAAAGAGCATTGAATCTGTGTAACTGCGTTGTTCACTCCTCAATGGCCAGCTGCCCCGTGAACGTGGTGAATAACTCTAGAACAAACCAGCAGCTGGACAAGGAGGGAGCATAGTATGATGCTTGCAGGCACCTTTATCTACATCAGAGAGAAAAAAAAGTCTCCAAACCTTGATCATGATCATCATGTCCACCAATTCACCTGTCACAGGCTGTGAGGACATGCTGTGAGTGGCTGGCCAGAACTGTAAATCTTCAAAGACCTGAGAGCTGTCCAGACTCATCTACAGAGAATGCCCGTTCATTCTCAGGCTACAAACTTGAAGGTTATCATAATCCCTGGACCATTCCAGCTGTGAACATAGTGGAACATGCCTATTACTGAACAAATCAGTCTCGTTTGCTGCTTGGGGCTAGAGAATTTTGAGAGAGCTGGTTTTACAAAGCTTCCCCCAGAAAATGCAGTCCACGTGACAAACTCCAGCCCTGAGTGATTCATTCCTCAGGGGCTTACCACACTAGAAGGGTTCCTGATGCTTTCCAGGGTGTACCACAAGCCTTACTTTCAGAGATTCGTTAGATCATAGCCACTCTAGTCGCACACACAATATTGCTTTTCTTCAACATCAAGGTAATGCAGTCTTATACTACACACTGTGAGGGATTCTTAGTATTAAGAAACTGTCCCAGGGGCAGGAGAGATAGCTCAGAGGTAAAGAGCACTGGCTGCTCTTCCAGAGGACCTGAGTTCAATTCCCAGCAACCACATGGTGGTTCACAACCATCTACAGTGAGATCTGGTGTCCTCTTCTGGCATGCAGGCAGAACACTGACTGTATACATAATAAATAAATATTTAAAAAAAGGAAAGCAACTGTCCCCTTGTTTTACTGGATTATCATTAATTTTTTTGCTTTGCCTGAGTCCTATACCCTAACTTTGTGTAAGTCACTATAATATATACAGACACCTATGCATACAACCTGTTCATTGCTGTCAACATGTACAGTGTGCCTACTGTTGACTCAGTAGTCCCCGTTCTAGGAATCGTCTGCAGAAATACTAAGGGTGTACAAAGTAATGGTAGAGGAGGGTATCTACTGGGCATGTAGCAGTGCTCTTCTTACCTCTAAAAATGTTCACACTGTACTATTGACAAGCATCTCTCAACAGAGTATATTCCTAAATGAAATGGAACCTTGAATTGTTAACCTTGATTCTGAAGATTCTTCCAATCTCAACTTCTATCTCTACTATCTCCTGGACCCAGAACAGAAACTTGGGGAAGAGGTCAGCATATTGTCAGTATTCGAAAACTTCCATGAGCATAGTATAGGAGGCGTCCAATATACTTACTCACAGACTGTAGACCAGGACACAGAGTTGAGTCTAGGACACATCAATGTCAAGAGCAGCCAACACAGTCGTGAGGAGCCAACATGTCCATGCAGAAGCCACCAGTATGTCCTCAGTGGTATTAGGGGGTGGGTAGTGGTCTATGAAGAGTACTTTCAGTGAGTTGGGTAAAACATCTAGATGCTCCCAAAAGGCAGAATGAAACTACTAGTAAGCCATTGTGGAAACATCAAAGAGCCCAGCAGGGAGCTCTCTTCCCTTGATTTTGTAGAGCAAAAGCAACATAGTTAGGGAGTTTCCCAGGTAGTGCTAAAACCCAGATGGAAAGATAGGAAGGAAGAGAAAAGCATACAGCACAGAACCCTCAGAGTACTCCTCCACCATGCGTAAGCAAGGGTTACAGTAGAGAAATGAAGGTGACCATCTGAAAATAACCTTCCTGCCTGCTGTTAGTCAGTCATGAGACCATTACAAATGAAAGAGAGGGGGCAGAAAGGCTGGTGTAGCTCAGGAGGCAAGAGACCTAACTCCTCCATCGACAAAGTTCAATCACAGTCTCACCATAAAGGTTTTGAGGATGTGTCACAGTGAAGCTGAAAAGCTGCCCTACAACTAGTCTAATTTCTGAAAGTAAGACACAACACATTGGGCTCTTTGTGAAGTAGCTACAAATTCATTCTTGCTAGCTAGTGTGAGGACCTACTAGAGAGAGAGAGAGAGAGAGAGAGAGAGAGAGAGAGAGAGAGAGATTAACATTGTGATTAAGACAGTGTGGAAGAGCAATGTAGGGCCATCATGGAGACAGCAGAGGATGCCCAGGCCTAGAGATGAATAGCACCATCACAAATAAGCAGGTAGAGCACCTTTGCCCCAGGCCTGGTAGATCACACCACTAAGGAGGTGGAGGCAAGAGGATCAAGTGTTTTAAGTTTATCTTTGGCTATATAGCAAGTTAGAGGCCAGCCTGGGCTACACAAGATCCTGCCTTAAAAGAGAGGGAAGGAAAGAAGAGGAGAAAGTGGTGATAGGACTTAAAAGAATAAAATAAAAAGTCTAGGTTGTTGGGTTCCAGCCCCGACAGGGTCTCTGTGAGTTGCTTGTCAACCAAGAACCACAGGGACATCCTGTGTTCTAGTCCTAGTTTACAGCCCTGGCCTCGCCCCACTACACCTGGGAAAACACGAGCTCTTTTTCCACGAGCTCTTACACCTGAGTTTTCCCCACTGTGCTGTAAGTGTATATAAGGCTGCTCTCTCCTTGGAAAACAGCAGATGAATAAAGATGGAAAGACGCGAATAGCATAAGCAGCCAGACATCTCTGCTTTTAAATCTCCAGGCTTTCACTCGATACGGGGCCTTCTCGGCAAGACGCCACAAGTGGAGGTTCTACTGAGATGGCCCTCAAAAGGCTGGCCAGCAAGTAAGGTTTATGAGGGTGGATTGGTGCCTCAACTCCTAAGAGAGTTGGGTTGGTAAAGGTACTGGAAGGGTGGCTCAAATCCTGAGATAGTTGGATTGGAAATAGAGAAGCGCTGTCTCAAAAAGAAAACTGTAGTTAATGGAATTGTTATGAAAAGTAAAACTAATAGAAAATGAAAAATAAAGTTTTAAAAAGAAAATAAAAAGTAAAAAAAAATACAGAGAATTTTTAAAAAGAAAATGAAAAGTAAAGTTTTAAAGAGAAAATGAAAAGTAAAAATACACAGAGAGGCCGGGCGTTGGTGGCACACGCCTTTAATCCCAGCACTCAGGAGGCAGAGGCAGGCGGATCTCTGTGAGTTCAAGGCCAGCCTGGTCTCCAGAGCCAGTGCCAGGATAGGCTCCAAAGCTACACAGAGAAACCCTGTCTCGGAAAAAAAAAAATACATAGAAAGTCCTGATACTATATGTGATTTGCTGTCTTTGAATTGTTCAATTGCTAGGGAAAGAGCAAGAGCTGCTAACAGATATTTGAATATAAATGCTGCTGAATTAATCTAACTTACATATTTTTAAAATGCTTTGACTTCTAAATTTGGGAAAAATATTTCTGCTTTTGTTTCCACAGAAAATGAAAAGTTGTAGGTTCCTTTCAGACTAACATGCTTTGGTGAATCCAGAACCCCTGAAGCAATGGCCAGGTGATCCAACACTGAAGACACCTGGGAAGATGCAGTCAGACCACTACAGTCAGGATTTCCAGGTCTTGTTAGGATCCTCGTGGTATTTCAGCGTCCCCAATCAGCAGGAAGTAGTTTGGAAAGAATGACGCCCACATTCCCAAATATTGTTTATAAATGTGTGCTTTCATTTAAATGAGTTGGTTATAAATGGTAACGACCAGGAATATTAGCTAGATGATAAAGAGAAGTAATTTAACCTTAAGAGTAAAAATGTATGTAGAGATATGAGACAGAGAATTATCAGTGTCAGACAATTGTATATTTACTTAGGTACATTTTAATAGCTAGGAGAGCTGAAGTAAAGCAAAAAGCAAGTACAGAAAATTTTATAGTTTAAAAGTTTGAAAGGGGGCTGGAGAGATGGCTTGGAGGTTAAGAGCACCGAATGCTCTTCCAAAGGTCCTGAGTTCAATTCCCAGCAACGACATGGTGGCTCACAACCATCCGTTATGAGATCTGGTGCCCTCTTCTGATGTGCAGATATACATGGAAGCAAAATGTTGTATACATAATAAAAAAAAAAAAAAGGTTAAGCCAGGTGTTGGGGGCCCACGCCTTTAATACCAGCTAGGGAGGCAGAGGCAGTTGGATCTCTGAGTTCAAGGCCAGCCTAGTCTCCAGAGCGAGTGCCAGGATAGGCTCCAAAACTACACAGAGAAACCCTGTCTCGAAAAACGAAAAACAAAACAAAACAAAAAGCAGGCAGGGACCTAGGGAGTTATTTCAGAATGTCTCTAGGCCAATTCGGACATTATCCCCCAAAAAGCTAGAGACACGGGTGTTGGACCTTTGATTGTGAAACAGCTAGTTTATGAGAATGCTAAGCCTCGCCAAGACCTCACAGGAAGAAGGCTGACATATACGAATTCATTAAGATTTGTTTAGATATCAGACCAACTTATACTCAGGAATTAGCCATGGTGGCTACCTTGCAGGAACTTCAGTTCAAAATATGTATGTTATTCCTACAGACAAAGCAAGGAATAAGGAGGAAGAAAGGCACAGAGCCTTCTAGAGGTTGCTTTGGATGTGGTCAGGAAGGGCACCAGGTCAGACAGAGTCCCAACAGAAGAGGAAATAGGGAATCAGGCTTGGACTGGCCGATAATCTCTTGTCCCTGGCTTTTTGTCGGGCAATAGGGGAGTGTTCCATGATGACTGGCAAGGGATGAGAATGCCCTGTTGGAGGAGGCACTGGATATATGGCCTAATACCTTGTAGTGCCTCCTGACTCAAGGGGTACTGCTGTACCTGTATGGAAGTGACAGTTGTCTGGAGTTCTATGACAACCCGTGGTTGGTTTAGAGCCAATCGCATCCCTGCAGTCTCTGCCCAGGCATCAGGGAACTCTTGTAACCATTGCTGGATGTCAGAAGGCTGACCTGGGGGCGTCTCAAACATTCTGAGTGTTAGGGCAGTGACGCCCCTTGAATAGGTGACCTCCAGCCCATCTGGTTTGAAAGCAATCTGGGCTCCTAGTTTAATTAACAGGTCCCTCCCCAGTAATGGGGCAGGGCATTCAGGGATGACTAGGAATGAGTGGGTTACCCGGCCCGTTCCCAAATCAACTGTTTTTCGGATAGTCCATGAGTATTGTTTCTGTCCAGGGGCCCCAATAACCCATGATTTTTTGTAGGCCAGGGGTCCACTAGTATTGAGTAGTACCGAATGTTGAGCCCCCGTGTCTACTAGGAACTCGACGGGATTCCCCTCCACCTTAAGAGTTACCTTAGGCTCGGGGAGGGAGTGCGAGTCCCGTCATCCCTAGTCTTCCTCTTCTAAGGCGAGGACCTTTTTGGAAGGTCTCTTTTTCTTTGGGCAGTCTCGAGCCCAGTGTCGTCCTTCTTTGCAATATGCACATTGGTCCTTTCCTAGCGGGGGTCAGTTGCCCAGGTTCCCTGGCTGCCTCAGTTTGCCTGGCCTAACTTTTCCAAGATCCTAGTGAGGTTTCTTTCCTGTCTTTTTTTCTCTTGTTTTCACACCCCTCCTGCTCCCTCTGTTTCCTTTCTTCCTTTTCTTCCTCCGTTTCCCTCCTGTAATATACTTTCTCTGCCTCCTTAACTAGGTCTCGCAGTGTTAAGTCCTGTAACCCTTCAAGTCTCTCTAATTTTCTTTTGATATCTGGAGCTGCCTGTCCTATGAAGGCCATAGCCAAGGATGCCCTTTGATCCTGGGAGTAGGATCGAAAGGGGTATAACAGTGATAGTCTTCCATTAGTCTTTCGAGGAAGAGGGAGGGGGCTTCAGTGGGCCCCTGAGTTACCTCTCTTACCTTGGCCAAATTTGTGGGGCACCATGCAGCCCCGAGGAGGCCCTCCACTAGAGCCTGGCGATAGACTGTCAGTCGCTCCATACCTTCTGCCGTGTTGAAGTCCCAGTTTGGACGGTCTAGGGGGAATCCCTCGTTGATGACATTGTCCAGCCTAGAGGGAGTCCTGTCTGCTCCCGGAATGTTCTTTTGGGCCTCTAGAAGGATTCTTTCCCTTTCCTCACTAGTAAAAAGGGTTTGGAGGAGCTGCTGACAATCATCCCAAGTTGGCTGGTGAGAAAACATCAGAGACTCAACCAAGTTGGTGAGTTTGGTGGGAACTTCTGAAAAGGGAGGGTGGTTAGTTTTCCAGTTACATAAATCTGTAGAGGAAAAAGGCCAGTATTGGAGGGCTTGTAAAGAGAGACTGCTCGCCAAATCATCAAACAATGCAAATATGCCCACAGTATCTACCTGTGGCTAACTTAGGAGTGAACCTTCGAAGCCACTTCCTAATCATTTATGGCAAATGGATGTTACTCATATTACAGAATTTGGCAAGTTAAAATATGTGCACATGGCAGTTGATAGGTATTCAGGTTTCTAAACATATGATAAGTCATTATTTAAAATGTTTCACATACATAAGAGTCCCAAAAGTGATAAAGAACGGAAATGGATCTGGATATTCTAATAAAGCATTTCATCTATTTTATACTCAATAGAAAATTGATTAGAAAACAGGTGTTCCTTGTAATCCTCAGGGATGAGGAGTTGTGGAGCGTGCTCATAACTCCATGAAAATGTAACTTCAAAAGATTAAAAAGGGGGAGAATAATGTCCCCAGTCTCCACATAATACATTAGACAGTGGAGAAGACCCCATCCTGCCCTAATTTGGGGTCGAGGGCATGTTTGTGTTTTCTTGCAGGAAAAGAATAAAGTGAGACGGCTGCCAGAACATTTGGTGAGATGCATGGAACAGAGAAAAACTGGACCTGAGATAGTGGGAGCCTGCCCAAGCCAGTTCAGTGAAACACGATAAACCAGTGTTCCTGACCCTTAATGTCATCAAATCTACAGTCAGTGAAAGAAAGAAGGCAGTGGGTTCCAGAGTTCCAGTTTCTCAACAGGCGAGTAATCTTGCAAGTTGATGGACAAAAGGACTTTGGCATCACTGTTGGTGATTACAGCTATTGCTGCTACAGCAGCCACTGTATCTGGGATTTGCCATCTCACAGTCTGTAACTACAGCCAGCATGGTGGATAAACTGGCAGGGGAAGTAACAGAGGCTCTTAGCACTCAGAGCTCCATAAATAACTTAGTCTGGGTAGGAAGTTTAAATCAACAAATTATATTCATCAATTGACCAATCAAATTATTAGGATAAATGGGATCTGAGTTCCTCCATCTTCTGGAGAGATCCTCTTTAGGGGATTGCAGATGGCAGGCCATTTAGTCAAAGAATAGGCTGGGTCCTTATCTCTGGGCCTTGTAGCCATAGGACTTGTGATCATATGCTTCATTTGGCTGAGGTGCCTCAGGGATAGACAAGCCTAGGCTCATTTTGTCACTTGATGACCACAGAGAATCATTCAGCTCAACTATGGTTGAGCCTACAGAAAAATTAGGCAGCCAATGACGGGTGAGACCAAGGGGTTGCCAGCCAACCTAAGACAGGAAAGTCATGCAGCCTGGGTGATTTCTCCATTGATGGGTAAGGTTGGCGTCAACGTCCTGGTTACCTAACAAGTGCTAATTTATATATAAAGAAGGGGGGAGATGTTGGGTCCCAGCCCCCATGGGATCTCTGTGAGTTGCTTGTCAGCCAGCCAATAACCACAGGTGCATCCTGTATTCTAGTCCTGGCTTACAGCCCGGGCCTCACACCACTACACTTCCACGAGCTCTTACACCTGGGGTTTTTCCACTGTGTTGTAAGTGTATATAAGGCTGCTCTCTCCCTGGAAAACAGCAGATGAATAAAGATGGAAAGACGCACATAGCACAAGCGGCCGGACATCTCTGCTTTTAACTACATTTCCAGGCTTTTGCCCAATACTAGGACTTAGTCGGGGCACAGACGTCACACTAGGTGGCAAAAACAACTTAATCTTCATTGAAAAACAGTGCTAGTCTAACTGATGCATGAGCAAGGATGGTCTTTCCTGTACTTAATAGCTAGGAGGGCTCATTCACCTGCTCGGCTACTCCTTGATGTAAAAAGTTCTGATCCATTATTTCTAAATTCACCATGAACAAAAAGGAAAGATGGTCATTAGACTGAAATAAATTATAGTCTTAGTTGCTTTCCAAGACCACACATGTGTTGGTGTGTTGAGTAGAGAACAGCCCCTATCTCCCTCCAGACTCTTTCAAGTGCTTCTTGGAGACTTAAAGAAATTTCCCAAACCTTTCCTATTGTCTTCATTTCCTGACATGGATGGCTTAACTACGTAGTGTGCTTTGTAGGTTCCTAGGCACTGACTTATGTGTCCACTCATTCAATTCCCAGCAGGCTCAGATTAGGCCTGGCCTGACGTCATAAAATTAAACAGCCTAGCTAGGTCTTAAATCTAGGTCTGGCTGGCCATAGACCTGATTCTCTTTCTACCAGCAGTGGCTGAATATCTGCCGAAATAACGTGGTGATGCTGGCAATAGTGGGACTAGACTGTAAGGGTAACCCAGTGTGATCACTTAGGTTATTTTTGGTTTTTACAAGCACACAGCCCTGATATTCAAGCTAAAAAGAGAGTTGCTATTGTTAGTGGCTGTGTTCTCCTCTAGGATATGTGCCAAGAACTATTTACAAACCAGACTGGGCATGACCCAGCATGCAGGAGGTGGGGGTAGAGGCCCGTGCTAAAGCCAGCAGGCTACACCTCCTTAGATTCTGAGCCAAGTGGTCCAGTTGCTCCAGCAAAGGCCAGGATGATCAAAGCCAAGTTAAACAGCAGCTCAACATTGTGTTCCACAAAGTTCAACAGAGGGGAAGCCAAGGAAAGTAGACTTTTTTACTTTTACTCAATAAACTGAAACCTGGGAAAGTCAGTCAAGGGTAGATAGGTCTGATTCCATCAACTTGGATCTGGCTTAATGTTTCTCAAACAAAGAAGCAGAACCAGTCACTCAGAAATCATATGTGTCTTTCGACTTCATATCTGGTGGTGTCCCATAGGGCTTCCTGGTTCCCATCCTTAGACAATTCACCTGTTGACTTTGGATCATGCACATGGGAAGTCCCTTTCAGCTAATGTTTTTTTGTACTTTTTTTTTTTTTTAAGCTTGAGTTTAGCTGTCATTATATTGCCCATGCTGTCTTCAAACTCCAGAGCTCAAGTGATTTTCCTGCCTCAGCCTCCTGGGTACCCAAGACCATTGATGTGTACCACCATGTAGGCTCCCTTTCACTTTCATTTTGTTCCATGCTTTTTGGAACACCGAGGTACCCTAATCAAACCCCCTTCAAGGTCTGGGGAGATGCATCATCCTGTAAAGTGTCCACCACAAAAGATTTGAGGATCTGGATTTAGTGGCGTACATTCAAAACCCCAGCACTGGGAGGGAGATCAACAGGCAGATCCCCAGAACTCAATAGGCAGCCAGTTCATCTCCCAAGAAAATAAAAACAAAAACTGAAAGCAACCGGGAAAGACATCTGATACCCACATTTAGCTCAAGCATGCACTGGTGAATGTACTCACATTAACACACACACACACACACACACACACACACACACACACATCTGCAGCCATTATAGTTTTGTGCATTTGTTTTCTTATCTGAAGTCTTACTAAGTAGTCCCAAATTTAGGACAGTCCTACTCCTTCAGCCTTCTGAGTACTAGGATTAGAGGACATGTCTGGCTTCAGCCTTTATGAGTATCACCCTCAGTTACACTTCAACTTCCCAGTTCTACCTGGTCTTTGGGTACAAAATGTTAATAGATCTGGACTATCTCAAGCCAACTGATCACACACTTGGCAGGCATAATGAGAATCATGAGATATTGGAAGATGATAGTCCTTAAAAAATGAGAAAACACTTAGAAATGGAATGGTAAGGAGTCGTAGTTAGAAATCCCTTAATTGCTCTGAAATTTTCCTGTTTGTTTTCTTTTCTTGAAACACTGTCTTGTTATGTAGTTCAGGGTGGCCTCAAACTGTCAATCTTCTGCCTCTGGCACCCAAGTGCTAAGATTTCAGTTTATCATTGTTCTAGGCTTTCATTTTGTTTTTAAGGCAGGATCTAAGTGTACCCTAGGCTTGGTTGCATAGATAGAATACCAGCCAGGAACTTGGAACCAAGAATGATCTTGAACTTCTGATCCTGCCTCCAGCTCCCAAGTAATCATGCCACCGCACATGTCTTTTGTGATGCTAGTAATCAAATTTAGGGTTCCCTGCATTCTGCATGCTAAACACTCATCCATCAGAACCACATCCCTAGCCATGTTTTCAGGTTTTCTAAGAGCATTGACTTCTGGCTTCATTTTAAAAAGTATTTTTCTGTGTATACATTATGTATAATTTGCATTAACGTATGTCATAAAAAATAGATAATTTATATTACCAAGGATGTGAAAAGTCAGTGGGAGGATTTATAATCTGAGAGGAAAGAGAAGACTTGAGAATGGGCTAGTTGTGGGTTGGTAATAAGGGTCAGAATCAGGAAACGCATACCCTCTACATATATACATCTGTGTCCATTAAAATTAACTGTGAGCTTCAGAGCACAGATACTGAGGATCCTAGATTGTGTGTTATAGACATTTCACTTTTTTTTTTTTCCGAGACAGGGTTTCTCTATGTAACAGCCTTGGCTGTCCTGGAACTGGCTCTGTAGACCAGGCTGGCCTTGACTTCACAGAGATCTCTGCCTTCCAAGTGCTGGGGTTAATCACTTTCATATTTTTAAATTTAAAAATTATAGGCAAATAGCCGGGAGTTGGTGGTGCATGCCTTTAATCCCAGCACTCAGGAGGCAGAGGCAGGCGGATCTCTGTGAGTTCGAGGCCAGCCTGGTCTCCAGAGGGAGTGCCAGGATAGACTCCAAAGCTACACAGAAAAACCCTGTCTTGAAAACAAACAAAAAAATTATAGGCAAATATCTAAATGTATAATCATATTTCTCTATCTTATGACTATGGAAGATATAATTCTCAGATAAAAATCCAAAACAAAGAAAGTATTTTTCCATAGTTATCATGACTCTTAAGTACACTCTTAATCAATTCAGTGCCTTCTGTGTTCCAAGTTCCTGGCTGGCGTTCTTTCTAGACAACAC